TTGTAGAAGACAGTGTGGTACTTCCTCAAGGATCTAGAAATAGAAATTCCACTTGATCCAGCAATCCCATTACTGGATATATACCCAAAGGATTATAAATCATTCTATTATAAAGACACATGCACATGTATGTTCATAGTGGCGCTGTTTACAATAGCAAGGACCTGGAACCAACCCAAATGCTCATTGATGATAGACTGGATAAGGAAAGCGTGGCACATATACACCATGGAATACTATGCAGCCATGAAAAATGATGAGTTAGTGTATTTGTAGGGACATGGATGAATCTGGAAACCATTATTCTCAGCAAACTGACACAAGAACAGAAAATCAAACACTGCATGTTCTCACTCATAGGTGGGTGTTGAACAATGAGAACACATGGACATCACACTGGGATCTGTTGGCAGGGGCCAAGGGAGGGACAGCGAGGCAGTGGGTGGGGAGGTCGGGGAGGGATGACATGGGGAGAAATGCCAGATGTAGGTGACGGGGATGGAGGCAGCTAACCATATTGCCATGCATTGCCATGTATGTACCTATGCAACAATTCTGCATGATCTGCACATGTACCCCAGAACCTAAAGTAGAATAAAAAAATTTTTTTAAAAAGGAAGTACTTATACTGTCATGGAAGGAAAGCCACTTGATGATACCAGGTGGCAGAGGTCATTTGTTTTGCAAGGTCAGGGCTGGTCCTGAGCACAGGAAGCATAGTTTGCCCTGTTAAGTGACTTGACAAGTCCTGGAATATTCCCTTACATTCTCAACTAAATCAGGAGCCCAATATGTGTAACTTCCACACATGGAAGAGAAACAAAACCTTACAGGTTGCCTAGTGGTGGCCCTTTAGTCCTCTGCTATTAGTTCAGCTAGCCACATCAAACTAGTATGCTGTCTGTCTCTGTTATTAACTGGTGCAATCAGAAAGATGAATTTACTCCTTGGTGTATTAGTTTCTGATTGCTATGATAACAAATTAGCACAAACTTAAGAGGCTTAAAACAACACAAATACATCACACTGTAGTTCTATATGTTAGAAGTCTGGCATGGGTCTCACAGGCTAAACTCAAGGTGTTGACAGGGCTGTACTCCCTTCTAGAGGCTCTAGGGAGAATCTGTTCTTTGGCTTTTCCCCTTCTAGAGGCTTCCCACATTCCCTGGCTCATGGCCCACTTCCTCCATCTTCAAAGCCAGTGACAATACATCTCTCTGATCATTCTTATGTAGTTATATCTCCCTCTGATCACAGCCAGGGAAAGTCCTCAGTGTTTAAAGATTCACTGTAAAAGATTCATGTGATTAGATTAGGCCCACTTGGATGGTCCAGGATAATCTCCCGATGTCAACATCGGCAATGTCCCTTTTTGCCATGTAAGGCAACATATTCACAGATTCTAGGGATTAGGGTTTGGACATCTTTGGGGGGCATTATTCTGCCTACCACATATGGGTGGGTAAGGATATCCTAAGGGTTCCAGCCCGCAAGCAAGGACAAAGAGGGAAACTGAAAGTAACTATTGCTGTTGTGTTTCCCCAATTATTTCTTACAACTTCACAGTATCAGGGAAACAAAAATTACTGTCTTGTTAAGAGATGTAGAACAATCAACAAAGTATGGAACATGTTCCCAAGCACCAATAACTTGGTTCTGTCTTTACAATGTAGAGAAGCAAGCACAAGTGCTCTGTGAATTAGATACTCCACAAACACAGCCAGCTGGCCTCTCAGCAATAGGCTGATTATATAGCTATGCACTATCAACAGGCTGATTATATAGGCTATGCACTTTCCAGTAAAAGGTACATGCCCCTAATCAGCTTTATTGAAACTGCCCTCACTAAGAAACTGTGCAGACATTATTTCCTACGATGCAGGTCCTATAGCTATCCCATTTTACAGATGAGAAAGCGAATACTTTCTACGATTATGCTACTTGACAAGCTGCTGCTTTCGCTTAACCAGTAAACATACATGTCTGAACCCAAAGCCTGATCTTACTCCTATGTAATATGCCGATTTCTATGCCTATTTGAAAATCCATCTAATCAGTACTTCTTCCCCCTTCTAATTCCAACCCAAAGCAAGTTCTTTCCTGTGACTCTATCTGATCTGACAGTCTACGTATGTGGTTTTAGGAGTGTGTGCACACATGTGCATGCTTGTGCATATGTGTTCAGGAACTCTAATTTTTTTCTTCACGAGGCTTCACATTTTGAATGCCAAACTTTGTCTGATCTCCAATCAGATATGGAGACTTCTGGCTCAGAGGTGGGATATGTATGGAACACATGCCTTAGGGTCATATCTAGTTTCAAAACTTGGCTAGATCATCACCTGTGAAACACTGGCAAATTACTTGAGTGCCACAAACTTCAACTTTCTTATCTTGTGAGAAGTCAAAAATAATATCTGCCTCACAAGGTCACTGTAGAATTAAAAGAGGTGATATAAAGCACTTGATAGATAATAATTACACAATAAATTGTTGTTGATACTATTATCAATTCCGTGCTATGTTTACCTGCATAAAAATGCTATTCAAAGTTCTTGCCTCTCTGAAAAATGCTTATTGACAACCTCTACTTAAATCAGTGACATTAGCATCACCAATAACCATAGGTTAATTGACATTAGGTTAAGGTGTGTTAATATACATATATATATATTTTTTTCTAAAGGGCTCTGCCTGCCCGGAGAAATAGTGCCTGATATTTCTTGAAATTTGCTAATCACATCTGGTTTAGTTTTAGACATTTTCTGGGATTTTGCCAGCAGCTACGACACTTTAATGGCTACAATAAACCTCAAAGCCTCATCAAATCTTTGCTGTATGTGTGAAAATTATGTCCTCTTCAATTAAACATTCAATCTCAGCTCACACCAAGGCCTTATGGAAAAGGAGGTGAAACCTGAATGGAAATGTAAGATGAAACGGACCGCCACGATTCTGGCCATCTTGCCAGATGGTATTTAGAAGAAAAAGAAATTCATTAGAGAAACCACGGTCTGTATTTTCTTTAAATATTTACTGGGTACCTTTCATGTGTTGAAAACACTGGCATCTCTAAAGATTAGCAGGGCATTTTTGTTTAAATATTCCATGTGTCTGTGGTGGGGGGAGTCATTTCCTCATTTGCCTCTGTGGTACTTCACGTCTTTTGGTGAAGCCCGGTACAAAGAAGAAAAGTAACTGAGGCAATGTTCAGTTTTCTTTCCTAAGGCAGCTCTACCAGCTTCAAAAACTCTTGTATTTTCTTAAAATCGGCTGAGGAAAGATTCAGTTGAGTACTGAGAGATCCGGAATGACAATTCAGAGCCTCCCTAGATAAAATAAGGTGTACCAAAAGTGAGGCGCTGTGGGGGAACCCTTGCCTCTCTACTGTCCTCCCAATTCACTCCTCTTATCCTCTTGATATTTATCATCAAATATACAGGGACGTCAAAATGAGGCAGCCCCTGGAAGGAGAAGGGAAAAGATCAAACAGGGATCAGGTTTTGGCTCAAAGACTATATGAGAGGTCAGGCCATGGGTTTCACAAGGGGCCAAGAGACAAAAAGAAATGGGCATTCAGGAACGGCCATGGAGCAAACAGGCTCAGGTCTCCCTCCGCCATTGCTAACTCTTGCTGCCACATTGAGGGCTGGCTTGGGCCCTAATTCTACCACTAGAGAGGGGCAGACAAAAATGCTATGTGATAGCTTACTATGCTTTATTACAATATTCATCAAGTTTCTCAACTTCAACAAGGATACAACTGCCAATTCTTCAGGAGAGAGAAAATAATGACCACAGGTTCACATATGGCATTTCTAAAGGAAGCATCCATTTGGCTGAATTCATTCAACCACATCAATGGAAGAAAAAAACCCCCACATGTTCCTTTAAAAATAATATACAAGATAAAAATATTCACTTGTAACCATTATCCTTTCCATGTAAGTTTTATGCCCAAAGTAAAAATAAATGACTCTCTTTGCCACCAGGAGCAGATCTTTCCCACTTTACTTCCATTTCCAAGCTGTTCTCGGCCTCAGACTTAGGTTTCTGAGTACTCTTTCACAATAAACATTTTTAAAATGTTTACTTTATGCCTTGGTGTTAAAATATTCCTGGTTGAAGCCCTTCATTTCCTCAAGCTCTGCTTCTGGCACTCTGGGCTCCATTTCCACATTAACACATTCCCTAAATCCTCCGTAGAGCTCTTCAATTGGAGTTATATAAGTTCCAAGCCAAGTATTTATATTCTTGGACAAGGAGATGTCTCCACAGTGAAAACACAAGACTCTAGAAATGCCAAAGGAAAATTCCTGCCCAAGCGAGATACATTTTCACCTTTTAAAAAAGCCAAAAAGGGGCTTTCAGCATTTTCTTTTGAATAATTAAATGTGTAAACTAGACTAAAATGGAATGTTTACTGTGGACCTTACCATCATTATTAGACTCACATATAAACCAAATATACAGGAATGTACGTGTGTGTGTGCATGCACACATGTGTGTGATATATATATATTTAAAGCACCAGAGTAAACTAAGGAAATATGTGAGTCCTAATTGGATAGACTTGATTAGAGCTCAGTAAATCTATCTCTTACTGGCCGTATGAACATAACTTCTCTAAGCCTCATTTTTCTCATCTGTAAAATGGGTTTAGTGTAGCTCCAGCTTATTAGGATTATGTGAGACAACAGTAAGCATCCAGTAAAAGTTACTACTATTACTAACGTTATAACTACTAAATGTAAGAAAATGTAGATATAACAAGATACGGATGTAAGAAACAAATGATCAACACTAATGAAAGAGAAGAATTTGAAAATACAGTGCCTCTACACACTACATAGAGATGGACAGTTTCATGAAAGCTGCAGTGTACCATCACTGAACTCTGCACCAATCCCACTCCATGACCCAGACCTAAACAATCCTCTTAAAACATTTTTAAAAAGAAATCTTGGCTATTATCATAATAACAGAACAGTTCCTATTACCTTCTAGTTGCCTCTTCAGTTTTCTCAAATCTTTTATGAGGTCTTCAAACTTGACTTGGGAGGCCAGAAAGAAATCCTGTGGTTCAGGCAGAGGAAAAACACTCTTTTCTGTTCCAGCTTCCTGAGAGGTATGGTAAACAAAAAGTACATTATACTTCCCAATTGTCACTTTCAGTTGAAATTCCAAAACATCAGTGAAGGAAAAAAAAGCTTTTTTATATTTGATGTCTGAATAAGAATCATAGCAATGCTCCCCTGCTATTCTTAAATTTGGACTAGTGACTTTGTCTTTCTTGTCTTTCACATCTTTTTGGACTTATTGGCAATGAGATTGGCTATAGCTTTGGCATAGGCCGGGTTCTATTTTGCCTCATGAATCAAAGAGAAAATTGTCAGGTCTGTCCTGATTTTGGACACTCTACTTCCATGAAAAATGGAACAGGGGAACACATCAAAGTACTTAAATTTAAAGTCCCTGCTTGATTTACACATGCTAACAATTAGACAAGTCCTCTTTGGGGTATACCAATGGGTGTGAATCAGAAGGTGCTGAATAAGAAGGCACTGCAATGGAAGATACAATCATCCTCCCATCACCCTTCCCCACCTTTCTCTATGGCTTAAAGCTCTTCTGTATGTATGCATGTTCAAATTCTTTGTATATGGATGTCTACACACATATACATATGTACACTTTTTGTTTTGTTTTGAGCTAGGGTCTTGCTTTGTCACCCAGGCTTAAGTGCACTGACACAATCATGGCTTACTGCAGCCTTGACCTCCCAGGCCCAAGTGATCCTTCCACCTCAGCCTCTCTACTAGCTGGAACCACAGATGTATGCCATCATACCCAGCTAATCTTTAATTTTTTGCATAGACGGGGTCTTGCCATGTTGCCTAGGCTGGTCTCAAACTCCTGGGCTCAGGTGATCCTCCTGCCTTGGCCTCCCCAAAATTCTTCATATATTTGAAAAACTTTTCCAAATGTTGTTTGGCTTATCTTAGGAGAGTCAGTGCAGGGTGGGGTATAGTTTTGACAAGCTCCACTGCTGTGCCTAATGGAGGATTCTCAGCTGAGAAACGTCTTGAAGGACAAAATCTTCAGGCACATTGAAACATAAGGTGAACCTGAAATACCTTTTCCAGCCTAGCTCGCTTTGTCCCTGAGTTGTTTAACATAAGCTTTGTATCTTGCATGTGTTAGTCTTCAGTTATTCCTCTCTCTGCACAGGCTACTTTGCCAGTTTTCCTTCACATTCCATCTTCCCTACTGCCATTAGGACTAATTCCAAACGCTACAACAGCTTTACAAGGCACTTTATGATCTGGCCTCTGTCTACCTGTCTACATCTCTAGCCTCATTTCTACCTTCCTCCTATCTCCAACTCCCTCTAAACCTTCATGAAATAATAGACCACAATATCTTGCTTCTAGGCCTTTGTCTATAAAACAGTCCCTTTCCAACCCTTCCCTAGTGCTTCCTTAAACTTCCTTGTTCAGACTGATCCTTCAAATCTTAAAACAAACATCCTTCCTTAAAGATTTCCCCCTAATTCCCAGCATGTGGATGTTTCTCCCCTGTTCTCCAAGGGCCTATGACATTTACATTATCATAGCATTTATCACCAATAATTTTTTTCCATAAGTTATTGAGGTTCAGGTAGTATTTGGTTACATGAGTAAGTTCTTTAGTGGTGATTTGTGAGATTTTGGTGCACCCATCACCCGAGCAGTATACACTACACCCTATTTGTAGTATTTTATCCCTCATCCCCCTCCCACTCTTCCCCCCAAGTTCCCACAGTCCATTGTACCATTCCTGTGCCTTTGCATCCTCATAGCTTAGCTCCCACATATCAGTGAGAACATATGATGTTTGGTTTTCCTTTACTGAGCTATTTCACTGAGAATAATAGTCTCCGATCTCATCCAGGTAGCTGCAAATGCTGTTAATTCATTCATTTTTATGGCTGAGTAGTATTCCATAGTGTGTGTGTGTATATTCCATCATGTATGTATATATATACTACTTACACACACACACACACACACACACACACACACACACACACACACCATAGTTTCTTTACCTACTCTTTGACTGATGGATATTTGGGTTGGTTCCATGATTTTGCAATCATAAATTGTGCTGCTATGCAAGTCTTTTTTTCATATAATGACTTACTTTCTTCTGGGTAAATATCCGGTAGTAGGATTGCTGGATCAAATGGTAGTTCTACTTTCAGTTCTTTAAAGAATCTCTACACTGGTTTCCACAGTGGCTGTACTAGTTCACATTCCCACTAGCAGTGTAGAAGTGTTCCTTGATGACTGCATCCATGCCAACATCTGTTTTTTGATTATGACCATTCTTGCAGGATAAGGTGGTATCGCATTGTGGTTTTGATTTGTATTTCCCTGATCATTGGTGATGAACATTTTTTCATATGTTTGTTGGCCATTTGTATATCTTTTGAGGATTGTCTATTTATGTCCTTAGCCAGTTTTAGATGGGACTGTTTTTTTTCTTATTGAGTTCATTGTAGATTCTGAATATCAGTCCTTTGTCAGATGCATAGATTGTACAGATTTTTCTTTCACTCTGTGTATTATCTGTTTATTCTGCTGACTGTTCCTTTTGTCATTCAAAACCTCTTTAAGTCCCAACTACTTATCTTTGTTTTTATTGCATTTGCTTTTGGGTTCTTGGTCATGAAATCCTTGCCTAAAACAACATCTAGAAGAGTTTTTCCAATGTTATCTTCTAGAATTTTCATAGTTTCAAGTCTTAGATTTAAGTCCTTAATCCATCTTGAGTTGATTTTTGTGTAAAACGAGAGATGAGAATCCAGTTTCATTCTCCTACACATGGCTAGCCAATTATTCTAGCACCACTTGTTGAGAAGGGTGTCCTTTTCCCAGTTTATGTTTTTGTTTGCTTTGTTGAAGATCAGTTGGCTGTAAGTATTTGGGTTTATTTCTGTGTTCTCTATTCTGTTCCATTGGTCTATGTGCCTATTTTTATACCAGTACCACACTGTTTTGGTGACTATGGCCTTATAGTATGGTTTGAAATCAGGTAGTGTGATGCCTCCAGATTTCTTCTTTTTGCTTAGTCTTGTTCTGGCTGTGTGGGCACTTTCTTGGTTCCATATGAATTTTAGAATTATTTTTTTCTTTTGATGGGGATTGCATTGAATTTGTAGATTGCTTTTGGCAGTATGGTCATTTTCACAATATTGATGCTACCCATCCTTGAGCATGGGATGTGTTTCCATTTGTTTGTGTTGTCTATGATTTCTTTCAGCAGTGTTTTTCAGTTTTCCTTGTGGAGGTCTTTTGACTCCTTGGTTAGGTATATTCCTAAGTATTTTATTTTATCTTTTGCAGCTATTGTAAAAGGGGTTGGATTCTTGATTTGATTCTTCACTTGGTCGCTGTTTGTGTATAGAAGAGCTACTGATTTGTGTATATTAATCTTGTATCTAGAAACTTTGCTGAGTTATTTTACTAATTCTAGGAGCTTTCAGGAGGAATCTTTAGGGTTTTCAAGGTAGACAATCCTATCATCAGCAAACAGTGACAGTATGACTTTCTCTTTACCAATTTGGATGCCCTTTATTTCTTTCTCTTGTCCGACTGCTCTGGTTAGGAATTCCAGTACTATGTTGAAGAGGAGTGGTGAGAGTGGGCATCCTTGTCTTGTTCCAGTTCTCAGAGGGACAAAGCTTTAAACTTTTCCCCATTCAATATTATGTTGGCTGGGGTTTGTCATAGATGGCTTTTATTACATTGAGATATGTCCCTTTTATGTAGATTTTGTTGAGAATTTTAATCATAAAGGATGCTGGATTTTGTTGAATGCTTTTTCTGCATCTACTAAGATGATCATGTGATTTTTGTTTTAAATTCTGTTTATGTGGTATATCACATTTATTGACTTGCATATGTTAAACCATCCCTGCCCTGGTATGAAACCCACTTGATCATTGTGGATTATCTTTTTAATATGTTGTTGGATTCAGTTAGCTGGTATTTTGTTAAGGACTTTAGCATCTCATCAAGGATATGGATCTGCAGTTTTCTTTTTTGGTTATGTCCTTTCCTGGTTTTGGTATTAGGGTGATGCTGGCTTTGTGAAATGAATTAGGGAGGGTTCCCTCTTTCTCTATTTTCTGGATAGTGTCAAAAGGATTGGTATCAATTCTTCTTTGAATGTCTGGCAGAATTCTGTGAATCCATCCAGTCCTGAAGTTTTTTTGTTGTTGGTAATTTGTAAAATTACCATTTCATTCTTGCTGCTTGTTATTGGTCCGTTCAGGGTATGTAATTCTTTCTGATTTAAGCTAGGAGGGTTGTATTTTTCCAGGAATTTATCCATCTCTTCTAGGTTTTCTAGGTTATGTATCACCATTAATTTTTAATTGCCATGTTATCTTGTACATCTTCCCTACTAAACTATAAACACCTCAGAGGCAGAAACTGTGTTTTGTTCTCGGTAAACAACATCTGGCATATCAATAAGCTTTATTTTTGGTTCGTGGGCACTACTACAGAGGGCCTATAAGACACGGTTCTGAGATGTATGTATCTTTAGCAGGAGACATCTAATTTATCACTATGTTTTCTTGTGGTTTCAGGAATTCTCTTGACCCTTCCTCTTTAAGGCCGTTAGCATCATTAGGGATGCTAGGATACAGTACTTGTCCTCCTTTTATCAGAACACAATGTCCTTTTATTTTTCCCATCTTCATATACTTATTTTACTACTTTAAAAAGGAAGCAGTACCCTTGACTGAGGGCCAAGATGGAAGAACCTCTAAGATCCTTACCACAAAGCTCCATTCTAATCTATACTGGGAGAAATCAGGCATAGTATCTCTTTTGATTTTCTAAAACTGTATCAGATTCAGTCCTGGTTTTGATTGTGTGTGTGTGTGTGTGTGTCTATGCCAGAAAAAGATGAAATTGCTGCTGAGCATATCAGGCTGGTAGCAGCTCTTGTGAAAGCTGCCCAATTAGAGTTCAAAAGGCATGACTCTACATGAGTTTCTTTAAATTTCACAGACCAAGACTTGGACCAAAAACCAGGCATGAGAAGGAAGCAGGGAGCAGGAGTCACCTTTCTTCAGCTAATTGCTCATCATCACTAACCACAAAAATCATCACTTAGGCTCTTAGAAGAAAGGGCTAGTTTCATAAATCACATAATTCTACACTCTTGTTGAGTGAAATACATTTTGCACAGTAAAAGCTAGAAGAGCACCACACTAATGTGGGCTTATTTTTCTTAGACTGGGCCATCCCGTTTGAAACTGTTCTCATAGTAAAATTTTCCTCTGTGAAGTTGATTCCACTGGGTTCAGCTCTCTTCAACCACAACTATATTCCACAAGCAAATTTCAGTCTTCCCACACAATGCATTTGACTTGGTTGAGGGAGACACTATCAATAAATCTGCCCATGCCAACCTAGGGTTAGAAATGTCACTGTCAAAGATCCTTCAGGTTAATTCTTCTGCCACATTAGTACCTGCTGTCAAAACCTAGGGTATGTGCATATGTGCCTGCTACTGCTCCTTAATTTCCTGAAACTAAACACACCTTCCCCACTCTACCAGAAAACAGCTCTCATCTCCTCATATCTAGTTCTTTGCAGATGCCACTTAGTACACATTTGTGAATATTAACATTACATCCAGTTCAGCAAGTTTTATCAGACATCTGTATTGTAGACAATAAAAAGAGACAATGGCCAGGAGTGGTGGCTCATGCCTGTAATACCAGCACTTTGGGAGGCCGAGGTGGATCACTTGAGGACAGGAGTTCAAGACCATCCTTGTCAACATGGTAAAACCCCGTCTCTACTAAAAATACAAAAAATCAGCTGGGCATGGTGGCGCATGCCTGTAATCCCAGCTACTCAGGAGGCTGAGGCAGGAGAATTGCCTGAACCCAGGAGGCGGAGGTTGCGGTGAGCCGAGATCGCGACATTACACTCCAGCCTGGGCAACAAGAGCCAAACTCCATCTCAAAAAAAATAAAATAAAATAAAAATAAAAAAAAATTAAAAAAAAAAAATTAGCCAGGCATAGTGGTGCATGCCTGTAGTCCTAGCTATTCAGGAGCCTGAGGCAAGAGAATCACTTGAAACCAGGCGGCGGAGGTTGCAGTGAACCAAGATTGCACCACTGCACTCCAGCCTGGCAATAGAGCAAGATTCTATGTCAATTTAAAAAATAAATAAATAAATAGAGAGTGAGACAGACAACGATGCATTCTGAACCTTAAGAAACAATGCCAAGGTAATTCCACATAATACATACAAGGCAGAATAAGACGTATTTTGAGAGAGATTCAAATAAAATACTTCCAGGCTTCAAAGCTGAGGGCTTTAAAGCCTTCCTCCAAAGATCAGGATGTTAGCAATGACCTCATAGAAGGGCCATGTAAGATTAGACTAAGTTATTTTTGACTACATCTTTTTTCACTTTTACAAATGATACATGTTCATTATGTTTAGTACTGGAAAGACAGAAGACAGTAAAAAAACTTACAATCCTAACATCCAGAAAGAAAAATTTTATTTTTTTCAGGTTTTTCTGTATGTTTGTGTGTACTTATATTTATCTATTACATATTTGGTATTACATGTTATTTTGAAACACAAGTTTGTAAATTAAAAGCAAATCTAAAATATTTTGTAGTACTACTATATTCTCTCCTATGCACTCTCGATGGCATTATATTATTCCAGTGTGTGACTCTAGTATAATAATTTGACCTTGGTCTCTATAATTGGACACCTTCCAAAATTTTTCTAATATTTTGCTATTATAAACTATTATAAGTAAACAGTAATTAAATATGTAGTTATTTTCTTAGGGTAGAAATTTATTAAAAGCTTACACATATTTCTAGGGCTTCAGATATAGAAAGGTCAAAAACCTTGCTTTTGATCCTTTTGCAGTTCATGAGCATGATGGATTGGGTGTTCATGTGCATGTGTAAAATGTGCCACCATTGAACCTTGTTATGATGTGGGCACATTACCTGTCTGACAGGAAGAAAAAAGAAAAAGGAGAAAATGAAAAAATTGGGGTAAAAAGGGAAACAAAAAGAGAAAAAACAACCACCTTGCTTTCCCTTAAAGCATGTATAGGTTAGGAAAATGCATCCCCTGTAGATAGGAACAGCTTTATGGACAAACAGCTTGACAAGCACATGGCATCTTTATGTGAATTTAATTTTAAAGTGTGCCCCTTATAACATATATAATTTGGTGAGTCAAGGGCAGGCTAGTTATGAGTCCCATTTCACCTAGAGACCTTAAACAGAGAATAACCTGATTTACCATACATGACAGTCCTGAGAAAGGTTTGATCAATTTACAGTATTAATTCTACATATCTAGTTGACAATTTATGTCTTCTATATGCCTTTTATAAATTGCCTGTGATATATTTTGCCATTTTTTAAAAATAAGGAAGAACGTTCTTTTTTTCTTGTTAATTCTCAAGAGTTCATGGTCTATTGTGTTGTAAACATTTTCCCAGTATGTTTTTTTGAATTTGGTTTTAAGTCATTTTTGAGATACTAATGTGTTTAATTTTAATTAGGAATTAAAGTTTTTTAGTTTTATGCATTGAAAGTTATCATTCTAATCTTTTATGGTTTCTGCCTAGTCTGAACAGTTTGAAAGAACTTTGCTACTTCAAAATCAGAAAACTATTTACCTATACTTTTGTCATGTCTTTTATGATTTTATTTTCATTTATTTCTACATTTAACTCTTTTGTTCTTTAAAGATTTGCTCTGGTCTCTGGTACAAGGTCTAGGAGATAATTCAACTTCTTCCTCTTCCCAATTACTTGAAATTTTTCCATTATTACATACTTAACACATATTTATTTACATCCATTTCTGAGATTTCCTTTCTACGTTCTTAAGTTTTTTGATGTTATTCTATCATTCCACACATAATTATTACAGCTCTATAATACATTAGCATATATAAATGAATGATTCTCTCTTCATGTTTAAATCCTGGTCAAATTTTGTCTAATTTTTTACATATAATATTTAAAATTATTTTGTCAATTTCCAAGATTGATTAGAATTCTGACTGATTCTTCCAACAGAGCGCATGATGCCACTCCTTATTGTGGTAAAAAAAAAATAAAAAATAAAAAAACCCCACATAACATGATATCTACTCTCCTAAATTTTTAAGTGTACAGTATAGTATTGTTAGCTATAAGCACATTGTTGTACAGATCTCTAGAACTTTTCCATCTTACATGACTGAAACTCCATATCCTCAATTCTCCATTTCCGCATTCCTCCATCACTCATTCTTCTTTCTGTTCCTTCAGTTTGACTACTTTAGATACTTATATAAGTGGAATCATGCAGTACTTGCCCTTCTACGACTGGTTTATTTTCACTTAGCATTATATCTTCAAGGCTGATCCATGTTGCAGCATATGACAGTATTTCTTCTTTATGGCTCAGTACATATACGCCTTTTCTTTACCTGTTCATCTATTGACAGACATTTAGAGTGTTTCTAAATCTCAGCTATTGTGAACAATGTTTCAATGAATATGAGAGGAAAAATGTCTCTTTGAGATCCTGGTTTCAATTCTTTTGGATAAATACCCAGAAGTGAGATTATTTGATCATATAGTTCTATTTTTAATTTTTTGAGGAAACTCCCTACTGTTTTCCATAGCGGCTCCACCATTTTATATTCCCACCAATAGTGCTAACAGGTTCCAATTTTTCTACATCCTTGTCAACACTTGCAATTTTCTGTGTGGGAGGGTTTTGGTTTTGGTTTTTATTAACAGCCATCCTAATAGGCATGAGAGGATCTCTTACAGTAGTTTTGATTTGCATTTCCCTGGATTAGTGATGTTGGTACCTATTGGCTATTTGTTTGTCTTATTTGGAGAAATGTCCATTCAAGCCCATTACCCATTTTTAAAAGTAGGGTTTTTTTGTTTTGTTTTTTTTTTTTTTTAACTTTGTTTTTAAATTCTTATGACTTTCAGTACAAGTATGTAAATTTATTCACAAAGGTCTGTACTTTTCTAGTTAAGTCTGTAACACATATATTGGTAATGTTATTGGGAGATTTTTCCCAAAAGATCTTCAAATTTATTATTTCTAGTGAAGAATAATGAGAAAAAGTGAAGTTTTATAAAAAGGCTAGAGACAAAGATACTTTCAGTTAGGGAGAACATCAGAAGTAAAAAAAAGCACAGGGTGTGTTTGGAAAACATCAGGTCTTGAGTTGGATCACAGAGTATGTGTTGCGGGAAAGTAATAAAAGTGAGGTTGTAAAAGATTGGAATTAAATTGGTAGAGTCCTAATTCACTTGAAAACGGGGAGCCACTTCTGTTTTAAGTAGAAAAGCAATATGATCAGAGCTGTGTCAAGAGGGTGTGGGGTGGCTTAGAGGTATAGAACCTAGAGATAAAGAGCTGAGCTGGAAAGCAACTGAAATTCTCCAGATGAGCCATCTTAAAACCTGGGTAAGCTGGTGTCAGCAGGAAAACAAAGCAAAACAGGGAAGACATAAGAAACAACTCAGTGGAAGGACAGAGAAGAGCCAGGGGAGGACAAGGTTTCATGCCTGAATGACCCAAAACTATCAAAAACTATGATATTCTTAATAGAAATCGGGGAGAAGTTTGAGGAGGAAGGAAATGATGACCTAGCTAGCTAGACTGAGAATAGTTAAATAAGCCCACCAGGAGAGTAGAAGAAAGTATTAAGAAGTTCATCAGTGCCTCACTTGTTTTCTGGATGAAATTGCAGGTCTACTGAAAACAAGGCCCTGGGATGGTTACTATTCTTCCCCTGATGCCTAGGAACAATTCTGCTCACAGGGACACATAGGCAGAAGTCCTGACAACATTTACTTTGAGACTTTTATTATTCATATTGATAGCTATATTTCTCAACATCTTACAACAATACCTCTTTCTTCTCAAAATTAGAACTCCTTTTTCTTAATTTAACAAGAAAGAATAAAACAGAAAATTCTGCTCAGGTGGATTCACACAGAAATGCTTATTTCTAATTGCAAATGCCCTCTAAGCAGAAAAGATGGATTTTTCAAATTCCACATCTTCAGCCTGTTCACAGGTTCATTACTGATAAAATATTGGGTATTACTGAGTCTTACTTTCCTAAATTTTGCTCTCCATCATCAGAATACAGTTTAACTACAGCCAATTACTAAATGGATCTAGATTTCACAGAGAACCTCACCCTGTGGCCATAAAGCACTAAGGCAACTAGGGTCTCTCTGAAGCTACCATACAGTCTAATGAGACTCAGAAGATTTATACCAGTGAATAATGCTTCTATTCGTAACTCAGTTAAATTATCTTGGTTTCAGTGTGCTCATCTGCAAACCAAGGAGCTAGAGAGCTCCCACATTCTATGTTGGGCTTCCAATTCATCCATCCATCTATCCACCGTCATCCAACTTATGAATGCCAACAATGAGTAACAGTTGAAAGTTTTCCACATAATGCCATTTCTTACCTGATCATAGTAACGCAGGTAATACTTCACAACGTAGTCCACCAGATTAATCCCATTATCCTAAATTTAAAAGAGAAATTTACATAAAAATAATTCCCATGAGACTGCCATGTTACATGGTTGAGAGATGAAATCTCAGGTTGAGAAACTTCTAATTTGCAAAAACTGGCTTTAATTCTCTTCCATGGTATCAAGGTTTTCCTTCCTCTGCTTCATCCTATCCATTTACTATACCAGCTATGCAAAGAAATTACACTGTACTATCCTTTGTGGGGAAAAACAAACAGAAAATGCATAAAACTTCTGAAATAATGGCTAAAACAAACAAAAAATTGTCTCCTTGTATTTTCTGGCATAAAGCCAAGACAGGAGGGGGCAGGGAGAGCTAAAGGGAACCAGGGCCTAGAACAGAAAAGCACCCCTCCTTTCCCACCTTTCAAAAAATGTGTGTTCTTAATGGTGTGAAAAACAATCCAGGCCAGCTTAAAAGGAGCACCACGCCACTTTATGACCCGGGGGGGCCAGGGGGGAGCAGGCCCTCCCACAAGGCAGCCTTTGTGTCTTGTTCACTGGAGTCTAATTCTAATTTGCCTGTGTGTTTCCCCTCCCTGTGCCCCCCTGCCCGCCATGGGATGCCTAGATATGGGCTGGTTGTTTCTAAAGAGGTAGCTCGGCAGGGGTGTGGAGCCAAGTGATCATCAGGCTCACAGAGTTTGACAGTAGACCCCAGCCCAATTGTTGTGGCAAAAGAATAATTGGCGATTCAACATTGCTTTGCCACTCAGGAATCAGTAAAGTACTAGTAGCTAACACTAAACTCAGCCTCCAGCCTTTGCAGGACGCTGGTACTGTATGCTATCTGTTTTGTTCTCTCATTGAGCAGCAGTTCAATACCTAATTGTGTATGTCAGAGAACACATACACATAATGGGAATTAGATCACTGAAAATAAGGTCTAACATGAAAAAACAAAACAACCTCTTTATTCAAAAGTCAAAAGAAAGCAAGAAAAAAATGCATGCTCTAATATAAATGATTGTTGTTGGGGGAGGACAGAGATACACGGAACAATGTGGAATACTTTTTTTAAAATTAAAGATAAAGAAAGAAAATAATGGCAGATTATAGAAACTTATAAAAAATAAATACCCGACTTTTGACATCCTTGAGTTTGGGCAGAATTTCTAAGCTATATCCATCGGCTTGTCCCCGAGTCCTATTTCCTCCGTTCATATAATTTCCAAAAGCCAGAATAAGAGCTAAAATATCCTTCACACTCTTCATGTGCAGCAAGCCCTGTGATGGCAAACACCAATCATTATGGAGCTGAACTCCAAATGCACCCATGTTCATTCAATAACAAATATTTACTGAGTACTCAATCGGCTGTCGGGTGGCTTGCTACCAAAAGGATTAACAGTTGGCGAAATAAAAAACACACTTGACTAAGCCATAAGTGTCTTTACAAACACATTAATACCCATTATTTTCTACCCACTCGACAAGTTAATTATAAACAGTGCATGTTTTAATACATGAGGATTAATTATTAGTTCTATATTTTCATTTGAGTCAGTTTAATTTTTAATATTTATTTTAAAGTAGACATTGTAAAAAGGGAGTTGGTATAGTAAGGCTTAACCTTGGATGACTTCTAAGTAGAAAAGGGGTTACCTTTATGAGGATGTATTTCAGTCCTATTTATCTACATAGCCAATACAGTTAAATGCAGAGCAGACACAGAAAAAGTATGTTCTTTATCCTCAGATATAATTTTCAGAGGTAAACTATAATAATGCATTTTAAGGCCGTAGGCCATCTTTAATAAATTTATTAAACTTACATTTATTAAGTCCTTGTATTTCTATTAACTTTTACAATTTCAAGCTGCTTAGGATTTTCTTTGGCTCCCTGTCTCATTTGTTTTTCCTTTCATCTATTTTTTACTTCAAGTACAAATTTTCCAATTTAAACATTTTTCTTTATAGTCTTAATTGACCTTCTATCCCCATCCTTTATTTCAGAGTAAAAAAAGAAAGAAAAATTAAGCTCCAGTCAGACTTCTTTATCTGCTCCTGCCTTTCAGATATCATTAGTGAGTGTATAATTATACTATGGTAATATTTATTTTTTCTCTGTTGAAATATTTCATATCTTAGAGAAAAAAAATACCATGCCTCCAGATAAGGAACAAAGTACTACAGTATTTGTGGAGAAGAATAACGTGTCCTTAAGAGCATGGGTCAACTGTGAGAAAAAGCCAGGTGCTAGAATTTAACCTTAAAATGAACACCAGTGTAGTAAAACGAACTAGAATTTATTTGCCAATGACTCATTGTCAGTCATTTCACTTATCAAGTCTCTGGAATCCTTTTACTTTATTAGGTCGACAGATTTCAGATGATCAAATACATGGATCCAAAGCAAAATCTCTTCTGCAATCCAAATTGTAAAATAGGAAACAGGTCATGCTATTTAGATTGGTTTTTAGTAGCCAGTATGTACTTTGGAAGATATTCAGAATTTTTTAGAAGCAATTTGTCAAAGTGTCATTTTTTTCCCGCCTTCTCCCTCTTCTGTCTACATCTCCTTTTCTCTCTCTCTCTCTCTCTCTCTCAGGCAGGATAATCATCAAATTTACACTTAGAAAAACATAAAATTTGTGTCCAAAAAGGTTTCTATAATGGCACTACAGTGGTCTTTCCCACTTTCTCCTTTACTCTCAATAAGAACAAGGCTATCTTTTAAATTAGACAGCAAACATACCTTAGAAGCTCGCGTGATGATCTCTACCTTTCTGTGCAAGGAGGTGATACCCTCAGCAAAGATAGATCTGAAGATTATGCACTGGGCACGTTCAGCAAAATTAGGAATCTGGGCTAACTCATGTAAAAATCTGTAAAAAAAAAAAAAAAAAAAAGAAAATGAATCATCTAGCATCACATACAGTCACAGGAAAAATAAAAAGACAGCTGAAAAAGATCCACTTTGAGAACATTCTTTATTTGACAATCTCAACAACTATAAAAGATGTCGGATTGGTAGACTCAAGGAATTCCAAGGGCATGGGTTCCATTGCTGACAACAGGGGCATTTTTTAAAGGGGTTCTATCATGATGAATAAATGTATGGTGTATAAATTCCTTTGGGAACAGAAAATTAATGCAAGTATACTGAACAAGTTATCTATCTCCTGCTACCCAAACAAAAGACTGAAGCCAAATGGAAAGCCCTAGTCTTTAACATATGAGAAAAATTATACAATAAACTCCCTCATAATGGAGCATTCTCTAAAGGTGTATTTACACAGGCTAAGCAAACTGAAGACTTGAGGCAAATGTCTACAGACAAGTGATTAAAAAAAAAATTCCTTACTGAAGTGATATTGCTACTATTTTTGCTCAATGAGTTACATAATCATCTATAATGATCACATTCTCCAGATATTTGTTTACTTTTTCACATTAACTAACACATATAGACATAGTTTACAGCTCAGTATTTAGAACAAAGCAGGCACTCATTAAGTAGACTACCTAAAGTTTCCTTAAAAATATGGCAAGACAGATTTTAAAAGCTAAAGGTGAGTACTGACCTACACACAGTAGCTCACTGTGTGAGCAGTTGGGCACTGGTTCCCTTTGCAAAACTGAGTTGGAAGAGCTACATATTCTCCAGGCCAACCACCAGAGGAAGGGGTATAAACGAAAATGGGTGGAAACAGTTGGACATGAATTCAGAAAAGGAAAGAATCCACTGAGAGCCAGTTATTTCATTCAGGAGTTGAGATGATGATTAACTGATATTTCTGAAAGTCTTGGTCAACTCATAATTTCATTACCATGGAATTTTTGCCATCTCTCACCATAAATGGTTTTACATAGGAACAAAGCTGAAGGCTACTTCTTTTTATACCTGAAGATATTTTCTTGGCTTATAGTCTCTGTGCCTCCTCTACTTTTGGGGAGATTTGGGTTTTAATAACTTTCTATCAATTGATTTTGTATTTATTCCACAACTATGTCATAATCCACAATCATTTTTTTGAGATGACATTCCATTAAAGGAATATCCATAAAAGAAAATACGGTCTTGTTTTAAAGTTCAATAACCCATTATTACGAAAATTATATGATGTAGTATAAAAGCAGAAACTCATAGGAATGTGTAAATTACTTCTTTATGAATGTAATATTAAACAATTTGTTCACTGATGACTGAAATCAGGGGTATCATCAATTTTTACAAATACATAAGAAATAAAAAGCTCACAGGAGTGATAGCATCTGATCTTGTAATGAGTCTTGGTAAGATGTAATTATTCAGATGCTGAACTATTTTGAAAGAAGGACCTTGCATTTCTCCCCTTCCAAATGTGACCATAAGATGTTATTCAGGACATCTCATGTATACTTCCCACTTAAAATAAACACAGTGCGCAAAGCAGTTAGAGATACCACATGAGAAAATATACAGATCAGTGCCTGAGCTCACCTAAAAGGACTTAGATGAAAAGCAGGAAATGCTGGATGAAAAGTTACTCATAAATAATCTTAAAAGAGGAAGTGTAGGACCAATATGAGGAGAGAAGACCATAGTCTTATAAATCTGTCTTATGCAATAAGGGTAAGATCGAAATTGCAAGGCTCTCTAGGATTAAAGGCCTTACGGGGGTTAGGGCTTGCACTGGAAAAAGTCTTAGAGCATCTCAATGTTCCAATGTCCTCTTTATGCAGAAGGGCCTGGAACCCATACACAGAGTTGCAGCGGGGAGAAAAGATCACAATTTTATGTTATTTTTGGAAAGAACTGAAAACTAATAGAGAAGATCAGTAACCAAGAATGTCAGTCTCCTTCAGGAATGTATAAGGCGTGTACAATGTGTCGGGGACCATGCTAGGGCCTGGGAACAGAGCTTAACTTAAAATCCCTTCTTGATAATCTGAGAAGTAATTCAACAATTACTGTGGAGTGTGAATAACTGCTATTGGTGATGGACTGGATCCAGAAGAGGAGCTAGGAAACCAAATGCAGGACACTGAAGTATCATAGGGGGACAGTATCAGCTAGGGTCCCCAGAGCCATGTGATGCTCATGCATAACATGTTAGAAACTGCCAAGAGAGCCATGATAGGCTGAATGGGTATCTGTGGTGGAAGTGAGTAGAAGGCAGATGCTAAAATAGTATTCTGTATTCTAAAATGCAGGGTTTCAACTTCTTCTGAATGCATGAAGGGTTTGAAACAGGAAAGTGACAGTTTCTGCTCTTTGTTTTAGAAAATCTCCATGGCAGCATCTCAGTTGATTGGATGGGATAGGAAATTTGAGGCTGGGAGACCTCTTGGACCACAGCTGTAGTCTTCCAAGAGGAAAGGTAAGAGGGCCTTGCGGTGTGAATGGTGACGGGCAAATAGATGAGGAAGCTACTAAGGCAGCAAGACCCTAAGTAATCTAACTCTAAGAGATGTTGTGAAGAGTCCAGGATGACTTTGGAGTTTTGGCTTGGATGCTTGGCATAAAGTGAAAATACAAAATAATAAAGAGGCAAATTTGGAAAAAAAAATAGGGTTTTATGACCCTTGCCATTCAAAAACAGTCATGCAAAGAGCACTACAGCTCCTCTCTTATTTATCTGCTAAGGTACCAGAGATACAGGTTACTTTGAAGGCTGTGAAGCAAGCATTTGATAAATATCTTCTCTTCCCCTGCCCCGCTCCATTACTGTTTTATCCTCTACCCTCAAGAGCAAAAACAGTAACTCCCTCTCTCAAATATTCCCAAGCATGGGATCTTAGACACTGGGCCTTAGTACTTATGAATATTTATGGATTGAGTTCCTTTTGGACTAGTCTAACTTTACGTTCTAGGTTCATTAAGAAAGAAAAAAAGAAGACTAAATATTCCCAAAAGAGGCCACAAATGCAGGATCCTTCCCTTCTTTCTCCAATACAGGCTAATGTTTCCAGGAAGGACTGTACCTTCAGCTTCTAATATATGAAAGAAGTTCTGTGTCTCACATTGTTTGGGTGACACATCCACAGCAGGAACTCGGCTGACAGGTGAAATGATGTAATGTGGCCCATTTTTTTTTAAGGGACTGACATTTGATTTAATATCCCTAAATTTCTGAATGGTATTACTTAAGGTGTATATGCACACAGGCAATACACAGCATAACTGAATCTTGTAACCTGCATTCTTTGATGGAGTACACTAACAGAGCCTTCTGTGGGGGGGTCCCAAAGCAGCTGTGGACCCTCATGAAACATCACAAAAGGCTGTGTATAGTGTTCTCACCCTAGGCCATAAGGAGCATGAACCAGGTCAAATGAAACCCAGTAGAGCCTCACCTCACAACCATTACCAGACAGCATAAGAAAAGAGTCAAGAGTCATCCCTAGAGGGAGTGGTTCTCAGACAGCCTGGTACCAAGCAGACGACACCTCTGCAGGGAATGGCTTTCTAAATCTGGCACTGGGGTGTAAGAGAGCTGATGAGGTGAGTGATGAGACCAGCCTCTCCATGCTCTGATTTATAGGACTGGGCACCACAGGACTCTTAGGAAACTGCAATGTTAAAACTATAAATGATTCATATTTTCCAGTATGTAAAACATGCTTATAGTCAACTCACTTGGAGTTAATGGCAAATAACTTGGAGTTAATGGCAAAATAATGGTTTGATTTATTGCCAGAGAATCAGAGTGGCATAAATCAAACAAATGCTGGTTTGTGCAGGAGGTCGGTGGCAAAGGTGAACTGCACACCCAGGTCAGAAGGCCCCCACCTAGCCGTGCCTCACCCTCCGCAACTGAGCCCAAGCACGTCACCTCACCAGCACAACATGACAGTCCTTTTTGCCAGCTTTTCATATTCATGAAGCCATTACAATGACCATTTATAAACATTAAAAATGCTTTTCTATCTAGATCATCCGTGGAGAAAACAAGAATAAGTTATGTGTTAATTACCTGCTACCATTATCTAAGTCCTGGCTATTAGAATAATAATTAGGACAGTTGCAGAAACCCATGATCTCTCCCTGCCTGTTCATTTCACCAGATCAGCCATTCCCATAGCTTAGAGCAAGGGCTGCTTGGTGGTTAAGGGGTTGGCAAATTGCAGCCCACAGGCCAAAACCAGGCCAGCACTTGTTTTTGTATGGCCCGTGAATTAATAATGATGTTTACATTTTTAAATTGTTGAAAAAACAATCAATAGAAGGCTAACATTTTATGACATGTAAAAAATGATATGAAGTTCAAATTTCAGTGTTCATAAGTAAAATTTCACTGGGGCACAGCCATACCCATTTGTTTATTGCTTGTGGTTGCTTTTGCATTGCAATGGCTGACTTGACTATCTGTAACATCCCGTAAGTCACAAAGCCTAGAATACTTATTATCTAGTCCTTTACAGGAAAGGTTTGCCAACTCCAGGCTTAGAGGAGAATATTACTGTGTAACTTGCTATAACCAGCACTATCCTATTGCTTGATATGCTGGCTGTGCCCAAATACATCTCCATGGCCTTGCCAGTGTTGAAATATCCCATTATTAGTCACTTTACTTTGAGTCATTAGCATCTTAGGAGGGATTAATTTGTTTTATTAGGAAATATGACTTGGAAATAAACCATAGATCAGTTGAGGGTAGGGATTGGTAACGAAGGTGTCTCAAGTCAGTGGAACAAGACAGCAGAGGAAACTCATTTGACTTGATTCACAATATCCCTAGGCTTTAGAAACCAATTTGAGGGGGGCATCTTGAACCACACTCCATGTGAGAGCAAGTCATCCAAGGTTCCCAAAACCATCATGTAGGTTTGTCAGTGACTGAGTAAACCCAGAATTCTCTTCCTGACTCCCATCCCCAGTCATTTAGAGATGTTATCCTAAGTCTAAATGTCCAGGCATCCATGGGGACTTAGGTTGGGCACAGCTGCTATAGAATACTTTTTTAGCACAAGGGACTGGTTTCAAGGAAGACAATTTTTCCACAGACCAGGGGTTGGGGTTGGGGGATGGGATGGTTTCGAGATGACCAAACTCATTACATTTATTGTGTACTTTATTTGTATTATTACATTGTAATATATAATGAAATAAGTATACAACTCGCCATAATGTAGAATTAGTGGGAGCCCTGAGCTTGTTTTTCTGAAACTAGATGGTCCCATCTAGTAGTGATGAGAGGCAGTGACAGATCATCATTAGATTCTCATGAGCACACAACCTGGATCCATCTCATGTGCAGTTCACAATAGGGTTTGTGCTCCTATGAGAATCTAATGCTGCTGCTGATCTGACAGGAGGCAGAGCTTAGGTGGTAATGCTGGCTTGCTTGTCGGTCACTGTTCACTAACCACCTGCTGTGTGGCTTGGTTCCTAACGGGCCAAGGACTGGTACTAGTCTGTGGCCCAGGGGTTGGGAACCCCTGTTCTAGAGGATCCAAAGGACAAGTAATGGAAGCCCCAGCGCAAGCCAGAGAAACTTGGATGCTTCTAGGGCTGACTTGTAACCCTGATCTGATCATTCCATTTCTGCTTCGGTTGCTACACTTGCCTCATCTCTAGGTTGAGAGGGTTGGCCTGAATTGGACAAAAAAATTCAAGGTAGCAACAAACAAAAGCAGCCCCTGTGTCCTGTGAACCCATTTTACATTCTCACAGAGTCTTAGGCCCTGGAAAGCCAGGCAGGGGCGTGGGGCTGCAGAGCCCCAGGAGCTTATCTGTGGTTTCAAGACCCCAAGAGTCACTCAGTTACACCCCGGAGTGCTGGGTTTTCAAAGCCTATGGAACGGCATCGCAAATGACAGAGCAAGCAGCTAGAGATTGAGTGGAGAGAAGAACAAGCATGTGCAGAGTGAGGGTGAGAAAAAGCCACATGTAACTTGGGCAGAGCAGGTGGAGAAGTTTGAGGAAAAGCTGGCACATTCAGGCTGCATTTACTGGATATGACCTTTAGGAAAATAAATTTGAATTCTGTGACTCTGATATCATCTTTTCAACTACATCAGCAGAACCTTAAATAGAACAATGCCTCTTCCTTCCTCAGTTACCCTTTTGGTAAAAATGTTTAGTCTAGGAGGATTTAACAAGTTGCTAGAACAAGAAACAGGAGTCTCGTGGGGTGGGGGAAGTGGGTGAGACACGCTGCAGCCAGGAGCACAAATCTCATTGCTGCTTTTCCCGGCAGCAGGGTCATCCTGCTGCCTGCAATAGGTCACAGGAATGATGGTGTTGTGATTTAGCTCACTGCACAATTTAGATTTTGTTATTCTGAGCTGGGAGACAAGACAGAAATTGCAGTTCTCCTTTTGGCCAAACAGAAAAGCATTAAGTATCCTTACTGCTCAGGTTTATCCAGCAGCTTCAGTTCTTCTTCTTTGGATGTTTCGTAATACTTTCTTATTTTAACCAGCTCATCCTCTTGGGCTCTCTGTACCAAAATAGAATACAAAACAAAAAAAATGGGCAGTGAGACTCTTGTAATGGCAGTGGGTCTCAAAGTGTGGTTCCTAGACCAGCAGCATCAACAACATCACCTGTCACTTGTTAGAAATGAAAATTGCTGGCCCACCCTAGACACAAGAACTGGGGTGGGGCACAACCCCACCAGGTGATTTTGATGCATGCTCAAGTTTAAGATTCAATGCAAATGGTCCTAACAAGTGCATGCAGCTGGACACAGAAGTATAGCTATTTGAGTTCTACCTTTGAATCCCGTCTCTTCCCCTGTAAGGAGGCTGGGGACAAATTGTTCTTAGAATTTGCTTCCTTACCCCTAGAACAGCCCTAAATTATATGGGCTTGCAGCTCTTTTATTTGTAGTTACCATCATCCCTTTTTTCAAATTTCATAAGCACTCATTGTCTGTACCACTTATATTGTCATTTAGTTACTTCCTCAATTTATCCACCTATTTCAGTTGTATGCAGCTTATCTCTACTGTGAGCTAACAAGCGGCAACTGTGTGCATAGTCCTGAGCTCGTGGTAACAACAAAAAGCATCTGGAAGGTACTGCCTTTGACAAAGTCCTTTAACATAAACCACTGTATCCTCAATTTACAGATTATTCCACTGAGGCTTGTACTAAGTAACTGTTAAAGAGCTTCAGACTTGGAACTCTTTCTGCCACTATACCTTGCTCACCTCCGAGTATTCAAATGAATAATTGGCTCTCAATGGCCTGTTATTTGTGTACTTTGTGGTTTATTAATAAAAGCTTTACTAAGGGAAATGTGAGAGGTTCCCACCCACTTGTATGAAGCAGCTCCTGATACATACAAAAGATGTGAAAATGAGCAAGGAGTTGGTGATGCCACCAGGCCTAGAATATTAGACTTTGGAAATTTTCTGTAAAAGACGTAAGGTCCCAGGGGACAAAATATTGAAATGAATCATCTTTTGAACTGAGTGACCACAGCATACTATAGAGCCCTAGACAGCTTCCTGGGAAATACTATTACTTAAGAGAATGTGGTTCAATCTATGTTTTTGTATCCTAACAGTCAGTGAAGCATTCTGAAGAATTCTGACTCTGCTGTGTTATCTTCTTAAGAGAGCCTGATAATTCTGCTGGTTATGTCCACTTAAAACCCAAATCAAAAGGCCTTGTATGTGTATATTCCCGTTGACTTTCAAAATACGTTGCTACTGCTACACATATTAAATGCTCATTTGATTAAAAAAAATCAGATAGAGCCTGCTATAATCCCCACTGGACTGATGATCAAATGAAATTAGGGAGTTTAAGTAACTGGCCCAAGGTCACTTGGCAGGCAATGGTAGACACAGCTGGAACTCAAACCTAAGAGTGTCTCACTATAAATCCAAAACACATACCCACCATTCTAGACACCTTGCCACATTCAGTGTCATCAACTCATTTGGACTAAGAGTAATCATCCAAGCTGGTATCAGCAGTCCCATTCCTCAGAAGGAGATCCTGGTACACATTGTCATTTCAGTAGGCAGCTTACCTTCATTCACTCTGCCAGCAAGTGACTGGACTGGGTTCCAGGGCACATAAGTGATGTCCACCTGAGATGCCCTGCCTTGCAAGTGTGCAATGAGATCCACCACTCTAGATACCACAGTGGGAGTTAGGAACTTAATGCTTCTCACATCCACTCCCATTCAAGCTTGTGTTTCTATGCCTTAATCTCTTCCAGGCCATGTCAAAACCCTTCCTACCAAAGAACATGAATGGCTCAGTCATTCTCAGGTGGAAGATAAATATGGAAATGCCAGCTCTGTAAGTCTTTGACACTCACGTTTTCATATAAGGCTGCCAGGGTCTCCAGATCAACCACGGAGTCATCCACATTGAAAATGGCTGCCGAGCACCCAAAAAGAAAAGAGGATAATGAATTTGATTAGGTCCCCTGCACCACTGTTTTCTCCACATCCAGGTCCCAAGCAATTAATAAAGTATTGCACTTTCTTACACAAGTTGTGCCTCTAAGCCTGTTTTTGCTCCCCTTCCTTACGCACCACGGGTCTCAAATGAAAGAAACCAAAATGGTTCCTATGGTTGGCCTGAGCCTTGGCTCTGACTTGTTTAATTTCTCAGGTTCTGTGTCCTTTCTGCAGGTTAATTTAGACTCCACAGGAGAAGTGCTTGTGCTTTAAAACTAAATCAGTTTGTAGGTTTGAAGCGCAATTTTAAATCTTTCTTTCCGGATGGCAGTTGAGGAGATTTAGTACCTAATGCACCAGAACTGACTCTTGCCCATTACCAGAAAGGAGAGAAAAAGACAGTGTTGGCAAATTAAATGAATTCAGGCATGTGATTTCAGGCACTTTTCCACGGCCACTGCAAACATCTTGTTTGGATTAAAAAGACAAGAAAAAGCAATAACTGCATCAATAGCAAATTAAGATTATGGAAACCTCCCGTGAGCCAGTCTTCAGGTAGGTTCTCATTCCTATGGTTTTATTAGGATTCTACTTGTTCTGTATTATTTAAGATGAAGTAATTTAGTTGTTAACTAATATGCTTATGATTTCATCTAGAGAGGTAACTTCCCATATATACTGGGATGCAAAAATTGAGATTTTAAATCCTAAATGGATTTGGCAATCCAAGTGTTTGAAATAAGCAGGTCCACATCTTTAAATAATTATTCAAAACTAATAAGGTTTGTTCCCTCAACCCTACCTCCCTTCCCTGACTTTACATTGTGAAATTAACCAGCATGCTAGTAAATTTTCTCCATGGCAGGCTAATTAATTTTATTAAACCAACCAGTGATACTTAGAATGCCTTAAAATTTTGCTCGTCAACCATTATTCTGTTCATTTCCATTACGCCATGGTTTTTGAGAAGGTGGGGATCAAGGTAAGGGGCAGGTTGTTTTTGAGGCGTTTTGCCTCTTCCATGGTTTAGAATCACATGAATGCTTTCATACAATTTTAACTAAGCTAATTAACTGAGCTAAGATCATGGACCCTCACAGAACACCAAGAAATGTACTTAAAATTACTTCACAGTCCACCTTCTTAAACTTAGGAGTTATTCAGCAAGCTATTCCTAGATACGTGAAAAAGAGGTGGTTAATATGCTATAGACAGAGTAAGTTACCTCAGCTTCCAACAAGACAAAGGAACATCACGCTTCCATAAAGACCCATCTAAAACCACCAAAGAAAAATGTAGTTTGAGGACAGAAAGAAAGGATTTGCCCTCTCAAAACTGTTATTTTTTGTGGAGATAATATCCATTCACTAATTTGTCAGACAGAACATGCATTTTTAAATGTCTAGCGCTTTGAAAATCAAAATAGCCAGAAACAGTGTCTATTTTATGTAAATCTCAGTATTCTCTTATAAAAATCAGCCAACATGAGCATATAAGAAAAGGTCAAATTCTAAACAGTAATCTACCAAACATGTTTACATGTTAACTAATCACACGTCTTCAGTAACTACACATGTAACTACAAGCTTAGATATAATCAAATAATCTTGACTAATGAGAAAGAGAATGACCTGTGAATTTCTTTTCCTCGTAAGTAAATATTCAGTTTTTAAAAGTTAATCAGTCTGGGGCCCAGGTACACAGTTCCTCAGATTATATTATCAGCCATGCCCCTTCCACTGTGTTTAGTAGAGGAAAACTAACACCCAGAGAGGCTGGGACTGAGTTCTGAAGACATGGATTCACATTCAGAATAAATATTTATTGAATGTGTACAGAATGCTCCAGAAACTGTTCTAAATTACTGTGGATTTTTAAGTTGGAAGTACAAAGTACTTAATCTCATGAAATTTATATTCTAGATTGGACAGAAAATAAATAAATACATAATTTCAGATAACAACTTACTATGAAGAAAGTAAAACAGAAAAATGTACAACATTAGACAGAAGGATCCCTGTCACTTCTTTGGGAGGTGACATTTAAGTGAAGACCCGAAGACGTCAGTTTTGTAACTATGTTGGAGAGTAATGTCCCAGGGAGAGGCAACTGCAAAGACAAGTTTTTTTCTGAAGGAACACATTCAAGGTGACTATAATGGACAGGGCAAAATCTCCTCACTGTGTGATCCTAATGTGTTAAATTTTCTGAGCTTCAGCATATCTATAAAACAGATCTAATACCACTTACTGAAATGTTAAATGATGTAAGATGTATGCTTAGCATTGCATGTCGAACATGGCATGATCCCAAAATGGTATGTATGAGCTACTTCTATCATGATTTCAAATATATACATTGAAATGTATATCAATGTGTATTAAAACATACAAATGTGTTTTAATGCTTGTGAATGCTTTATCCCCTTTAACACCTGGAAAGAATTAGAGAAAGAAAACTACAACTACTGAGTGATTTGTGCTGTAAATCCAAATTTTCAGAACTCTTAGGTGTTTCAGATAGCAGTTACTGTGAAACACTTCCAGTCCTTTAAAACCTCACTCAAGGCCCAACTTCAGAAAGCATTATTAGTAGAAAAGGTCTATGACATAACTCTAATTACAAAATTAATGGATCAAGTGACGAAATGTCAGGTACCTCCAAGTCTGTATTATCATATTTTTTCTCTAAATTGAATCTTTCTCATCAATCTATCCTTCATTGTACCAAGGTTATTTTTTAAAAACAGATTTCAAAATTTTACTGTGATGCTTAAAATACTAGGTGAGGTCTAAACTCTGCAGCCTGGTTTTTAAGCCCATTCCCTGCCTGGCCTCAATTATACTTCCAAAGTCATCATCTACCATGTTCTCCACACACCTTGGGTTCCAGTCACACTGTGTCATCCCCCATTCCTGAACACACCATGGCTTTCTCCTTTTCTTCATCTCCCTAAGGCACAGACATTAACGCCCTTTAAGGATCATTAAGTCCTCAATCTCTTCCCCTGCCATAGTACCTCTCTCATATTTTACATAAGGCGATGATGGTATATTTTATGAATCTATATTACGGTATGTTGCATAACAGTTTCCTTCCCCACTAGATTGTGAGAGGCTTGCAGTCAGCAGTTGCTTTCTTATGCATCTTGATAACCGTCTCCCAGCACAGTACCACGGGTGCAACAGGTATAATATAAATGTTTGTGGATGTGGTTATACTATAGGACTCCTGAAGATTGAGTCCTGCTGATGGGAGGGAAAGCTTCTTGACAAAGAAAGCAAAGGGTCTTACAAAGAAACCAGAGAGCCTCTGAAGGGGAATAGCCTTATATTATGGGGCATGTGTCTGAATTATGGTTGTTTGCTTCTTCCCAATTTGACCCTGTCCTAAAAGCAAGGTTTGGCTAGCAGTTACATAATCGTGCCGCCAACTCATACACTCGGTATAGGTCATACTCCTTGCCTGAATATTCTCTAACAAAAATAATTAACTTCAACAAACAAGTTTTCTGATTATTAGGGAATGAATAAGGAAAATATCTTTCCTTATTCAAAAAAGTTTTAAATAGCTGTATCCCCTTAGGAAAAAAAGGCTATGAGTAAAAGTTCAACTGTTATATCGCTTCAGGCAGACATTTAAAACACTCATCTATTAATCATCAATAATTAAGCTAAATTAATCCATGCAATGACAATTTGCAAATATGCAGTAAGTGCCAGTGAACATACACTGGAAGGATGTAAGACATTCCAGCTAGAGGAAGAGAACAGGCTCATGAAATGTTTAGGTAACAGCAGTTAGTTCAATTTTGGTTTTAAGAGAGACTTAACTGAAGCGACCAGAAAGGTGCACTCCAAACATAGTTTGCGGTAAGACCTTGTTGAATTTTGAATGCCATGATGAACCTATAATACACTTATTATACAGGAGGGAGTTGTTGAGCAGTTATGAGTAGAGGAGTAAATTGGACAAAGTTACGTTACACACAAAAAAAGTCAAAATTTGAAAAGACTAGTTTAGAATTTATTGTAGTGGGCAAGAGGTAGCAAAAACCTGAATAATGTGGACAGAAAGGATAGGGCAGAAAGGAAAGACACTATACAGCATTATTACAGTTATATTGCTAACTGGCTTTAGGGACTGAGGAAAGCAGAGTCTAAAACCTAGTTTCCTCTAAGGTTTTAAGCCTAGCTTTAGGGAAAGAGCTTTGTACCATCACCGCCCCCCCCCCCCACCCAGAAATGGGCACAGGAGACTAAGAGATGAGCATGACTGTTGATCTGTCCCACAGAGACTGGGAAAAGAATGGAGTAGAGAGGAAAGGACAGGTAAAAAAAAAAGTAAAGAGATGAACTTAGGACCAACACCAAGCATTCCACTGAGGTTTCTCCTCTTCCACAAAAGGATCTTAAAAATTTAAAAGGTAAAAGAAAAATCAGATGGAGAAGAAGCAATACCAAGAGATTAATACTGAGCCTAGAACTTCAGGAAATTAAATTATTTGTATTATTTCTAATAAAAATAATATTGGCCTGGGAAGGGTAGGGTATCAGCCAGAAGGCTAAAAAATAAAAAGACCTACCAAGTCCTAGGACTCCTAGGAGAACTGCCTTACAGGTATGTAATTCCACCTCTTAGTCACCAAATACAGTTTCAGTTCCTAGAGAGCCAGAATCCATACCTGATAATGCTCTTCTCAAAATACTGTAACAATATATTAGAGAATCAATGAATGCTCTCCGATTAAGTCATTCTTGAAAGCACTTACCATTAAACTTATTAGCTATTATATAAGCCCAATTAATTAGTTAACTAACTAGTGACCACAATGATCACAATGTGGAAAGAAGTCAGTTTTTAAACTACTTTTGGAGTTACCTAGGATCGGATTTCTCTTTCCATTTTACACTTTAAAAACATTCACTTTCTGTCTCTGTCTCTTCTATGCATGTGTATGCACACGGGTGCACCTCT